AAGAGTTGTATGCGCCCCTAATAAAACGATTAAAAAAAATAAGAAAAAAAAATTTTTATAGAGCATGCTCAGCATATCTGAAACTAAAAAAAAAAAAATTAAGCTATTTAATTATTCAAATTATTTAATCCTTCAAATAGAAGGAGGGTTTTAGCTATAAGTTTTATTAATTTTCTAAGACACTAATCTTAGTCAAGGAAAATATATGAATATGAATTTTTTCAACATAGCAAATTATATTCATTTCTTTTAAAATGTTTGTAGTATCAATATTTTATTTCATTATCTCAAAGAGCCAAATTAATCTGAAATTAACTAACAAATTCCTGGTGCTTCTGGAAGATTAGCTAATAAAACCTATAGGGTTCTACTCCGACAAACAGGTGACCCGGAAGTGAATGCACTCGATGGTAACTGGTTTGCTTTGTTTCTTCTTTTAAATAGGAAAACTGTGATCATTAAACTATGCAGGTTTTTTTTTTAAAAGACTGCTTTAGATCTAATTCTTGAGATTGATTAAAATATCTCTAAATATAATATCTAGTTCTTTCTAGTTAAGACTTCTTCACATACCAAAAATTAAATTTTACTATTCACAAAATCATTTATTTACTCATTCTGCAAGCCTTCAATATATGCTTCACACCATGCTACATTACTGAGCTTATAGAACAAACAGAACTTTAGCCCTGCCCTCGAGAGTTTAAAAGTCTAAAAACATAAAGCTATAATATTTAAAGGTTGTGTTATGACATGAGATTTGACAGCTAGATCAATGAGAAAGAGCCCTGAAGTCAACCTAAAATGCTAATACGTAATAATGATTACCTTAAAAACTAAATTATAAATCAACTTACAATAATAGCAATACATCACCTAATGCTATCGAATGAACCTTAAAAGTTGCCAATATTTATTTTGACCTACACAATAGCAATTTTACATAAGCCACCCTAATATAATAATGGAACAAATATAAAGATATGCTAACTGGATAAGCTTCCCTACTTACCTGCTCAATTTCAACAGCATGCATAATGATCTCTCTGACCCTTTCTTCTGAAGGCTTATTTACTAGGTACTGAAACATCAGGCAAGCAAAGTCACAATGAAGTCCCTAAAACGGAAAGAGAGTACACTGTAAATTAATTCTCAGTTAGCTCTGCACAGTGATGTGTCAGGTATTACAGCAATTCTGCATGATGAAAGAGGAAAAATTTAATAGGGCCAGGAACATCTTTCCTCCAAATTTCACTAAAGTGCCAATACACTGCAAACAAATCATTTTCGATGTCAGCAAATCTAAGTTCATGAAGTAAGAATTAACACAATCTGCAAGTGGCAAAATCATTTGCAGCATAAAAGAAACACAAAACAAGAAGATTTAAAAATAAAATTAATCAGGTTTTAAATATTAAAAAAAGCGAGTGATTCGTGAGCAGCCATCTATGGTGCAACAGTCGGCCTTGCCCATGCAGAGGACAGAAGAGTGATGACAAGCAGAAGACATGTGGAAACCATCCTCCCGTGGACTAAAGGGCCTTGCCAACGTCAGTCTCCACCCTCCCAAACAAGGATTAGATGGGTGCAGGCTCCGGACACCTCTTGCTCTGAAAAGGGTGGTATTAGAAGGTCCTGAATAGAGGACGAGGAACATATGGAACAAGACTCAAAATCGTGAATGAGACTAGGCTTACTGGACAGATAGCGACATGGGATGCCCAAGACAATGCCCTGAGTTACCCTTCAAGATTGGAACAGAACTTACCTCCCGATTAGAATAATCAACCATTTAAGATCAAAAGGGCAGCATTTACCCAAGGGAAACGTTCAGAGGGTTAGGAAAAAGGAGGAATGGAACTGAATACAGGGAGGAAGTGGTAAGTGACAATACACGGAGAAGATGGCAATGAAAGAGTTCAAACAAAATGTGTGTCAACTGTTTAAGGTAAAATTAACACTTGATTCATAATAAAAAGTTTTCTCTTTAATTAAGGAGTGATTGAGAATTAATAAGGATGAAACACATTAAGAGATTTCAAAAAGGCAGCATTTATATGAAATAAGAATAAACCCAAACACCAAACCAACCCACTGCCATGGAGTTTACTCTGTTCTCAGAGCAACCATACACAGGAGTGAGCGCAAGATAAAAACCAAGAACTGAGCTCATCATTTGAAGCTGTAAAAGCAAAATTTCACTGCAGCTAATTCAACCTGAGAAAACAAAGTTGTGAAATCCCCAGAAGAGAGCGTTATGCAAATCAAATTAATGTTACAGACTAGTATGTAGTAATTGGAGAACAATGCAAGGAGAGTCAACCTACAATAACCAAGAACCTGTAACAGACCACAGAAGGCAGAAAGCAAGAGTCAGAAAAAAACAATTTTTAAGATCAAAAAGAGAAAGATGCCATTAGAGATAGAACCATGGGGTTTCAAACAAAATTAAATCAGAAGCTGACACCAAGGCAGACATATCTAAATTGCAAAGATAAAGGGATAATTTTTTAAGGAAGGAAAGGAGCAGAACAAACTTCAAACTTTAAAGGATTACATATCGGTGTGTTTTTAATGAATCAATAAAAACCCAGAGACAATGGGAAAGTAAGACCCTCGAATCCAAGGTTATTCTTCAAGGATTATTTACTTAGTCACCCTTACTGACTTAGTCATTCCCCAAAGAAACTACTGGGGAAAAACCCTGTTTGAACAGCTTATCTTAGAAAATTTACTGGTGAACCACCTTCCCCAGACTTGACTCAGGAGGATATTTCAAATGACCAAAGGCTGGACTTGAGTAAAATGGTGAAGTTGTTAAAGGAAGCATTCCTTAGAGCTGAAAACTAGCTACCTATTCCAGAGACGCAGAAATAAAAGTAAGCACTCATAAGTGTTAAATCAATACCAGAAGAAAATTAATTTTGAGGTTCAGCTCAATTCGAATCAAGATTTGAATGTTTTGTTTGTTTTTAATTCAAAAGTTAATCTGGAAGGGTCTTTGAAAAAGGAATGCTGAGGAACTCTTACAGCCCAGAGGAGGCAGAGAACATGCCAACTAAATGTAATGTGGAATATCCTGGATGGAACCTGGGACAGGAAAATGAGCCTGAGCTAAAACTAAGGAAAACTGAATATAGACTTGAGTTCATTTTAAAAATAGTAATAATCAGATGAATTCACAGCTAAAGGGAAATATTAATATCTTGACAGGAACAAAGGAAAAGAATAAGTAACTACATAAAATAAAAATGTGATTAAATTATTAAAAAGTCCAATCTAAGTAGCAATCAAATAAATGCAAAAAGAGAAAAAAAGAGCAAGACACCAGCTATCCCTGTCAAACGTATCCAATGATTAGTGAAGATCACATTCTCTGAGGGTAGGGTATGACATGAAAAGACATGTTCATACATAGCTAGTGAGGCTGCAAATGGCTAGAAACTTTCTGGAGAGAAATCTGAAAATAAGTAAAAATGATTTTTAAAATGTTCAGATCTTATAATGTAGTGATTCTACTTCTAGGGACCTAGCTTAGGAAAATAATATAAAGTGGAGGCATGGTGGGGGTGGGTAAAAGGGAGCTGATGTCAAGGAGCTCAAGAAGGAAGAAAATGCTTTAAACTGATTGTGATAGCAATTGTACAATTCTGCTTGATGTGACTGAACTATGGAACAATGATATCTGTATTACCTAGCAATAAAATGGTTTTGGGGAAAAAACATTGGGACAAATTTACAGCAAAACAAACAAAAACCTGGAAACATGAATTTCTATTAATTGTAAACTAGTTAAATAAATGATACTCATCCATTAGAACAACACACATACCTATTTGTGTATGAACATATCTATTTTTATAAATGATTCATGCCATAAAAATACTTTTAATACTCTGCTGACTTAAAAAAAATCGCAACTTGTAAAAATGTGAAAAAAGAGTATCTCAAATTAGAAAATTACATTTGCATGTCTTTGTAGATTTAAATATACAAAGACTAAGAACAAATACAATGAAATATTAAAAGTGATTATCTCTGTGTGTTGTTTAAGTGATTTTTTCCCTTCTTTTGTTCTATGAATCTTTAATGTAATCATGACAGTATAGTAAACATTTAAAATGTAAGGATATGAAACACGATTATTACGCAAAACATTTTATGGGCACCTAAACAGTACTCTTAAACACATGTGTCACTACGTATTAACAAAACTCTGTTGAGGTTGTTATGTGAGTTTTAAAAACAGAGCCACTGGCCACCATAACCTATGTAGCAAGACTGCAGGTCTAAATTCAAAACTCCATTTGAATCAACTGCAGTCTGACCTAGACACTTCTGATTTTGCTGAAAAAACAACGTTAACTGCTGGTAAAATAAAAAAGTCAGGATTTCTGGCTTAGGTTAAAAGTGCCTGGATTGAGAGAAGAAACCCTCTCTCACCCCCTTCCACAGAGACTAGGAAAGAGGACTGGAATTGAGAAGATTAAAACAGAGCCTGTAACTACCTCCTAAGGAACTCGGTACCCAGGGAGAGGCAAACACCAACTGGCCAAGTTTCAGTCTTGAGTTTGACTTCAACTAATTAGACTTCATTTGCAATCCCCTAGATCTGCTCAACTCCCACACTTGATCTTAGCCAAAAGGCCAATAAGCAATGCGCTGCTCAATTTCCAGTGACTCTTTGTCAATTTTAAATGAGACAGAGACTAACCGTGTTACCCTAAAATAAAGTTATTAAATTTAAGAGCTGAGCATCTAGCAGAGAGCAGTGGGATTAAGACTTGTAATAGGCTCTAAAATTGAGAGAGGTTCAAATTTGAAAGGGCTACACCAGGGGTCCTTAAACTCTTTAAACAGGGGGCCAGTTCACTGTCCCTCAGACCCGTTGGAGGGCCGGACTATAGTTTAAAAAAAAACAAACTATGAACAAATTCCTATGCACACTGCACATATCTTATTTTGAAGTAAAAAAACGGGCAAAAACACCTGGTGGGCCGGATGTCCTCGGTGGGCTGCATGTGGCCCGCAGGCTGTAGTTTGAGGACCCCTGGGATACACAAAGGGAAACAATGATCAATTTCTCAGGAAACTCAGTTGATTTTATGAGAAAGCAATCAACGGGTGGAAAAAAAATGGCAAGGAAGCTGCACAGGCCTGTCTGGCAGCGGGGACAGTGGGTGGGAATGCCACAGAGCAGCACCGAGAGGACGCTAAAACCACAGTGCAGAAAAAAGAGAAGAGAACGTTCTAGGGGGCAGGGGTGTATAACAGCAGGCGAGAAGGGCAGGGCAAGGTCATGCACGATCATCCTCAGGCAAAGGAGTCACCAAGAGTTTTGCAATTTAGAAAGATTATACGAGAACTTTTTGAAGGATACCCTGGTGGTCTTCAGGGCCAGAGCGTCCAAATATAGACAGTAAGAGGTCATGAGAAGTCTGCACCGCAGCAGTGCTGGGAATGAAAGGAAAGATGTCAAGACGTCTAGAGATAAGACTGAATTAGCGACTGCTTATGGCCAGAAAAAGAAAAGAAGCTATCGAAAATGACTCCTGGATTTCAAACTAGGGCTATCTGGCTAGGAGGTAGGTTTACTCGATGAGATGGGAACAACAAAAGAACAAGTTCTGGGAGAAAGATGATGAGTTTGAATTGAGGTATTTATAGAGATGTTCAGGAGACGGCTTCTTGAACGCATTTTCAATATATGAGTGGATATTAGCTCAAAAAGATGATCTGGGCAGAAGGTGATGTTACGTACGTGTCTATACTAGTCAATCTCATGGAAATAAATGGGGACGGCAGGGCATGTGCAGCAAAGGAGAGAGGCCGAGGTGGGAATCCAGGAACACATTGACGTTGAAGGATGTGTGGAAGAGACGAAGAATAGTTATGAGGAGTGAGAGAGAAATACGATGTCCTAAAAGCAAAGGAAAGAATGACTGACTTCCTGCTTTCTCTTCATTACCAGGGAACATGTGTCCCCAGAAGGACCCCTGGTGGCACTGTGTCCTACGCACTGGGCTGCTGGTAACCACAAGTCACGCAGTTCAAACCCACGGGCTAGCCCGGAATCCAAAGCTGAGGCTGTCTGTTCCATCTCAGTGGAAGGCTGACCATCTCAGAAACGCTATGGGGCAGTTCTATGCTGTCCTAGAGGGTCACTATGAGGTGCAGTCAACTCGATGGTAGTGACTTTGTGCTCTGGTTTGGGTCCCCAGAGCATGTTTCAAGGGAAAGAAAAATACATGAATACCAAATGTGAATACAAAATAATTTGAAGAACACTTCATTCCTTACTTCATCTCTGCTGATGAGTTCATTGGAAAAAGTCAGTCCCGGCAGAAGACCTCTCTTCTTTAACCAGAATATAGCAGCAAAAGATCCCGAGAAGAAAATCCCTTCTACAGCAGCAAAAGCCACCACCCTTTCCCCTGCCAGACCAAGGAAAAAAAATTGTTTTACTTTCATAACTATCATACAATGCAGACATTTTCAAATTTAACATGTTTTGGTCCTGTCTTATTTTACAGTTCCATGACTATTTTGCCAAGACACCAAGCACACAGTTTAGCACCATGACCAAGGGTCTTTGGAGGAGGAAATTTGCTTTCCCAACCTACTATTGCAAAGAGACCTGTGTCCTTCCAGTCCTGTGTCACACACTGGGCTGTAGCAGCCCTAGGCGGCTGGGAAAGCGACAGAGCGTCAGAGACGCGCTGTGCACCACATGTGAGGCCCACATATACATGAGTAGTGCATCAGAGAGTGCAAGGTGGAAAGAACTGCTTTGTCAACCTGAAGACACTAATGGTGCGAGTGGTACGATCAGCTCACACACGTGTACAGCTCCAGCTGGTTAAAGGGGTGTACAAGGGTGTGGCTAAGAAAACAGTATTTCCTTGTTACTGTCCCTCGCTCCACTACTACTTTCAGAGTCTATTAAGGACTTGGATATTTCCCTCCTTGTCCCTCTAAAGTAAGGTGACCAGATTTTAACATCGGTAAAGCGGGACACCACTGATAAAACTCATATCCTGGCGAAATAGCCACATGACAGCCGAAAACCGTATACCCTAGCTTGTCATGCATTCTTTCCAAAAATCGGGACTTTTTAAAAATGCCACGGGATTATGGGAAAAATCGGGATTGTCCCATCAAAAGCGGCACATCTGATCACCTTACTCTAAAGCCACTGTTTCTGAGAGTGAGCTTTTCAACCCACCTCTGAGAACCAGCTGGGAATAAAAAGCAGGCCCCTGAGGCTTACCCCATAGGAAGACACCAACCCCAACCCCGTGCTGCTGAGTTGACTCTGACTCCTAACAACCCTAGAGGGCACAGCAGAACCGCCCCGCGGAGTTTCCAAGGCTGTCAGCCTTCACGAACTCAGACTGCCGTATGTTTTCTCCCGTGGAGCAGCTCGGAGGTTCAAACAGCTGACCTTGTGGTTAGTAGCCTAGCACTTTAACCACTCTACCACCAAGGCTCTTCAGTCCCACCCAGGCTTCCTAAATCACTCTTAGGCAGATGCTGAGGGTTTTCTCCCCCAAATTCTCCAGATTTTTTTTTTGTGCACAGAGAAGCAATGTTTTTTTCATTCTCAAAATGAACCACCATGCAAGCATACATGTCTCTTCACTGAAACACTACATGTTAAAGACCTCACTGATTTTCTGGGTGTGGCCAAGGGTCCTGAGACCCTCTATAGGAACTGGGGGTTGAAATCCTTTTCATAATACGACTAAATCACCATTTGCCTTTTTTCACTCCCATTCTTCCATGAGCATACAGCTTTCCAGAGTCCCTGACATCAATCCTCAATAATCTGAAAAGCCAGCAAAACGCTCCTCCGCTGAGGGAAGCGGAATTTATTCACAGACTTCACTCTAACAACACACTTCCACAGAAGGCAGAGCTGCTGTGAGGATCCAGCTGTCACCTTCTGTGGCAGGCTCTAAAGACACTACTAACTTGGGGGCAAGGAGAGTCTTTTCCATAAATGGTTTTATGTTAAAATTCAGTGGCTTATGAAAAAAAAAAAAATTCAGTGGCTTATGCGTTATTTTTAAATGTATTAATCAAGTAAGTATTTTCCTAATGTGCCAGTTTTCATTTCTAATACAAAGATACCAACAGATAAAATATACATAAATAAAAACCCTTTGAAGTCCTGAATACTTTTTTAGAATGTAAAGGGGTCCTGAGGCTAAAAACGTTTAGATCGGCTTCCCTACCTAATGAGTAGAATCAGGGAAGGACCCCTAATTATTAATAAACTGGTAAGAATGGAGCAGGTAAAGAGCTATTCAAGTGACATCTCAATTTTAATAAAATTGAGTAAGTATTTATTGAGAAGGGACCATGTATAAGATTTAATGGAAATCGCTTCCTTACGGGATCTCCACTCATCCAGAAGGCTGCTGACACTCTTACCTGTGAAGAATAAGCCTGTTATGTCAAACTGTTGCTCACTCTGGTTGGTCTGCACCGTTTTTCAGAAACTAAGTATTTGTTCCCTGAAAAACACTAGCACTTTGATTTGCTTAAAATCTTAGTAAACATTCCAGAAGCAGGTACAAGCCATGGATTGTTATAATACTCATCAGATTCTATGCAGCTGATTTACCTAGAATTATACACTGATATGATGGTATAGTAGTTAAACTTAGGGCAGCTAACTACAAAGTTAACAGTTCACAACCACTAACTACTCTGAGGGAGAAAGAGAACCATGTGGGAAACTCATCAGGTGTACCCTATCCTATAAGGTTGCTATGAGTTGGCTTCGACTGGATGGCAATGAGTTGGGTTTTTTGGTTTATCTTAACCTTCAAATTATTAAAAATAGGTAACAGTTTTAGGTTATTTTACCAGAGGTTTCCAATGACTTTTAAGAGCTATAAAGGGGGATATTGAGACACATATTCCTGTTCCATGCTATGACTTTGATTCATACAAGTCAGTCCCCACCTGTAAAATAGCATCAGGTCACCTGTGGCAATTTGGTGCATAGATAAACATAAGCTACGTACCAAAAGTAGATTTTCTATCTGCTATCCATCTCAAAGCCCAATCTGCTTTTTTCTTAACACATGGCATTGTTTCAATTGCATTGAATAAAAATTCCCTGTAAACACAGAACAACACAAGGCAAAGTTATCCACCTGTTTTTCTTACTCCGTTTACAGAGGTTACGCAGCGTTAATAACTGGACCTGTGTGGCATGCTACTGGATCTGCTGGTGTTTCGTCATTTCATGTGTCTATAAAGCACAGCAATCAAAGTGAAACTCAAGTCTAAAGAGGTTTGGATCGGGCCAAATAAAAAATGACTAAATCTAAAATGTTCAGTTTCTAAACAGACCGTGCTATTTTTTAAGATACAATGCCTGAAGATTAACTAGTTCTCCATATAAGTTTGTTTGTTCATTTTAGTCCAAGATGCCGCTAAGAAACAGAAAGCATGTTCCTAAACCCCCAGACCTGAATAATCCTTTCTAAACATTTAGTTTGGGAGTACATTCTGTTCTTAACATAATAAACTATAGGAGAAGTCTTTATAAATAACATCCCAGCAGTAATACCTTTTCTTGGGATCTCTGATGTAAGCGTCTATTAGCAAACTGTACATCTCTGAGTGAACATTCTCGATGAGAATTTGAAAGCCATAGAAACAGCGAGCTTCCGGCACCTGCACCTCCTGACTAAAGCGCTCCACCTAAGAAAATAAGGGAAAACAGATGTGTCCAATTCTGTGGGCTCTCATTAACGCCGGACAAAACACTGTTACTCAGAATCTAGGGCCCGGGGTGGCACTGTGGGTAAGCATGACACTGCTAAGGAAAAGGTCAGTGGTTCAAACCCATCAGTTGCTCCACCGGAGAGAGATGAGAATGCCTACTCTCCTGAAGACTTAGTCTTAGAAAGCGTAAGGAGCAGTGCTACTCTGTCCGAAAGGGTCCCCATGAGCTGGAATTGACTCAACGGCAGTAGGGGTGGTATTCAAAATCTGGGCAAAAGAATGATCACTTTGAAACGGCCTGCCCTGTCACAAATGGGTCAAAAAGACCGTATGGGTCACTTTAAGCAGTACTGTTTACTTGTATCAGCCCTCAATAATAAGTCAGTTGTACAATGCATTACATAATTAAATGAACTGTGCTACTAGGTAGAAATGATGTGTATAACCCAAATACATTTTAGCCCATCTACCAAAAAATAAGTACCATGCCTTGTAGAATCGGCCTTACATCATTTCTGGTTTGTGTTTGGCAGTAGACCAGGCGTCCTCAAACTACGGCCTGTGGGCCACATGCGGCCTGCTGAGGACATTTATCCGGCTGGCCAGGTGATTTTGCCCCATTTTGGTTTTTTACTTCAAAATAAGATATGTGCAGTGTGCATAGGAATTTGTTCATACTTTTAAAAAAAAACTATAGTACAGCCCTCCAACGGGTCTGAGGGACAGTGAACCTGGCCCCTGTTTAAAAAGTTTGAGGACCCCTGCAGTAGACAGTAAATTAATCACCTATTGAAGCCCTTTCTAGTTCATGAGGACAGTTCTTACTTTTTTATTCCCTGTAGTAAGCACACTCGCCCTTGGTCACCCATGCTCCAGTTTAGAAACGGGGAGCCAGAACCAAAGGCTCGAATACAGAACTTCAGTAAGGTCACTAAGGTGCAGGTTCTCGATGCTAAGGTTAAAACTCAAGCACACGTTTATGCATGAAGGCAAATTCTGATCTGTATAACTTATGTTTGGCTTCATGATAGCTTGCTGGTCACCTGCAGAAACAGACCTTCTACTCTGACACCCTCATCAGGAACACTTTCCCGAGTTAAACTTCAACGACTAATGTCTTAGACGCTTGACATCTTTTTCATTTTTTTATTTTTTCAGGCTCCGTCAAACGACTTCCCTGCCACTGTTATCTTAACTGCTGACAGGGGACAAGAGTAAAATGAAGCAAGACTCTTACCAAGTTTTCATTTACAATTCCATCACTGGCTGCGAAAAAGGCTAAGATGTGAGAGATAAAACACTTCTCATTTGATTTCAGCTTGTTCCAGTGAGGGAGATCCTTTGATAAGTCAACCTGAAATAAAAATATTTTTCCAAGAATTTTAATACGCAGCTAAATTCTTCCTAAAGAGTTTAAAAAACTAACTTTCACCCCAAAGTTGAGAAGGGTGGTCTCATTATTGGTAAACTATGGGGGGGAAAAGAAACAAAATAGGCAAAAACAGTATGAAGGAATCTGCTTTTCTAGCTGAGAAACACACTGGACACAGTGCACTTTAAAAATAATAAAATGAACATTTAAATTTCATGAAAAGTTATCCATTACAGGGATCAAATCCAGTTGTGTTTTATGTAATGCTCATCTTATTGTTAGCTAGTCTAGTCCCAGTTGCTGCTGTTTCCAGCTCGGAGCGACCCCATGTGTATCAGAGCAGAACTGTGCTCCACAGGTTTCCAACGGTGATTTTTTGGGGGAACAGATCACCAGGCCTTTCTTTCTTCTAAGGTATTTCTGGGTACATTCAAATTTTCAACCTTTTGCTAGAAGTCTAGTGGATTAACTGCTGGCAACACCCAAGAACTCCCAGGCAGATATTCTCCTCCACCCCTCCCAAACTCACTGTCATGGTCAATTCTGGCTCATGGTGGCCCTCGCAGACAGCCTTATCATTCTCCCTCCGAGTGGCTAGTAGTCTGCACTGCTGACCTTGTGGCTGGTAGCCCAATGCTTATCTTACAGTGCCACCTAGACTCCTTAGACATAACAAGCATCTGTTAATCAATTACAGCTATCACTTTACTTTCAGCTAATGTACTTTTAAGGAGCTGTGGGTTATGCATTGGGCTGCTAACCACAAGGTCGGCAGTTTAAATCCACTAGCCACAGCATAGGAGAAAGATGAGGCTGTCTTCTCCTATAATGATTTACATACAATCTTGGAAATTCTAAGGAGTCATTCTACTCTGGAGTTGCTCTGTGTTAGAATTGGTTTGAAGGCACTAAATTTGGTATTGGTTTCTGAAATCTAATTTTATACCAAAAAATAATGTCAGGCAAGTAACTACTGGAGTTTTAAGGCAATTAGAGGTGTGGCTTACTCTAGAAACAAAAATATTTAAAAGGTTCGCTAGAACTAGTTCTGGAATTTGAGAGAGATACAGTCTAGAGTTTGGCAACATCTGCAATTTACAACTTGTCTTTAAATGTACTTTATAGATATCATGCTGTTGTCTTGGGAAAATCTCTTCATGTTTCATAATATCCTTGTAAGCATGTGAAATAAGCAATTGTCCTTTGTCTTCCTTTTCTATTTAGTCTAACCTCATTTTTTTAACCTTTCCAAAGAAGGCTAATGCTCCATCATTTTAATAATTTGAGTATGCTTTTCTACAGTTCTTTCCAATTAACTTATTATTTAAAATGAATACATACTACATGCCAGACACTATGCTCAGTGTTAAGAGATAAATGAGTCAGAAAGAGGGGACTATATGTACATATCTTTAAAGATGCAAAAAGTAACAATCATGTTCTGGTCTATGAAAATCTAAGCTCAGGTTTAAGTGAGGGACATCTTCCTGGTTCTCATATATTATATTCCTGATATCAAATGTTAATTGTAATATGCTTGTTTGTAAATACTATACTTTTAGCTTAACCCTTTGACCACTTATTTATACTGCATTATTCATTTTGCATTTACAGAATCTACATCCTTCTCCTTAAAAGTAGTTCTTTAATTTTGAATATCATTAGAATTAGAATCCTATCACCTGAAATATAAGATTCTCTGCCTAGCTTTTTCTCATTTGAGCCAAATATTTCAATTCCACCATCAAAATGTCCTGATTCCAAACTAGTTGATTATTAAACTTTTCTTAAATGGATTAAAAAAAAAATCCCATACTTTCTGCTTTCTCAATCAGGTTTCTGATCATCAGTAATATTTGAGGATTGAATTAAACAAACTATATAAAATAAAGGTGTCTAAACCTAATTAAATTGTAATGGACATCATTTTTAGATGAACAATATTTGAACCAAAAGATCATTCTTCCAAAGTGTTTGATTATTCCTATAAACTGCAAATAAACATGTACCAGCTTGTGTGTTTTAAGTTTTTAATAGTAATAGTTCTTATAGTTCAATACATTTATTAAAAGATGCAAAGAACTGTAAAATTCTAAATAAAAACATCAGAAATAAAGTTTTCAACTGGTAACGAAAAAGGCCACCTGTGTACTCCATTTGTTCCTCTAACCATTTGTTCTCTTAACCCCAAGTACTTTGTCAAAACCACAGGCAGTTAAAGACAGTCAGGTGTGCTAAGCATAGCCCCATATGAAAATACTGGGTTGTTGTTCAACACAGCTACAATATAGCAAGCACGTTGACAATGTAACAATACAATACAAATGGGTAAGTGGGTAAAACTAGTATAACTGAACATTTTTTAAATGCCTTCTAGGAGTTGTAGTTTAAACCTCCCCCAGTGGATGTATAAATTAATAGCTTACATTTATTTGGTGCCTATTGAGTATGGAGTACCAATCTAAACGTCTCATTAGTTTTTATAACAATGCAGTGAGCCAGGTGCTATTAGTCCAGTTTACAGTGAGGAATCACAGGCAGAGAGAGATGAAGGGGTCTTCCCAAGTGCACAGCTAATAACAGTAAAGCCAGGTTTTCTGTCTAGGTAGCCTGGCTCTAGAGCAATGTTTCTCAAACTGGGTGATAGCACCCCTGGGGTCTTGAACAGTCCAAAGGGGCTGCAGAAGCAGGTAGCTAAATTTTATCCTGAATTATGGGCTATAGTACAAACGTTATCACTGCTAGCAGGGCACTCAGCAATTTTTTTTCCCCCCTGAAAAGAAGGAAGTAGGCCAAATAAGTTTGGAATCTTATGATCTATCAGGGGTCCCCAAACTACGGCCCGTGGGCCACATGCAGCCCGCCGAGGACATTTATCGGGCCCACCAGGTGTTTTTGCCCCATTTATTTTACTTCAAAATAAGATATGTGCAGTGTGCATAGCAATTTGTTCATTTTTTTTTTTTCTAAACTATAGCCCGGCCCTCCAACAGGTCTGAGGGACGGTGAACTGGCCCCCATTTTAAAAGTTTGAGGACCCCTGCTTTAGAGCCTACATTTTAACAGTATGTGTTTACATATATAGTATCAATCTCTATAGCAATATATATATTGTGTGTGTTTACCTACCTATCTATCTCTAACCCTGGATGAAGAAAAGGGCTAAGCACTACATACTAGTCAAGAGGTTGGCAGTTCTAACCCACTCAGAGGCACCCTAGAGGACAGGCTTGGGGATCTGCTCCCAAAAGGCCACATTCTTGGAAAACCCCATGGAGCAACTCTATCTGTATGCATGGGGTCGTTATGAGTTGGAATTGACTCAAAGGCAATGAACACGCCCATATACTTATGAGGGGGTTCCAAAAGTTCATGAAAAAGCTAAATTAAAAAATAAAAAAAATTTTAAGCTAAATTAAAAGATACTGGAAAATTTTCAGGAGCTTTATGAAGCCCCCCATATACATGTATGTGTGTGTGTGTGTACAGACTCAAACCAGGTATTATTCATCATGCTCAGAGATGAAGACTGATGATGTGTCCACTACAGGGGTTTCGAACCACTTCTCCCCAGTTTAGTCATGGTCAACGAAGCAAAACCAGAATGGACTCTTAATTTATAAAAGGTGGGGAAACCAGAATGGTAAAAAGAACCAGAGAAAATGACAGGCCAACGCCCTGCTAGAAGCACCGTCTCTGCCACGGAAAACAGGGCCGTGTGCTCCACGGTGGCCACATCTCCTGGCCGGCAGCGTGGGAAGCAGGATGGCCTTGCTTCAAGATGCCAGCCAATCACACCACTTTGCATGTGTGTCACTCTCCACAGTCCTGGTATTAACTCCATCCCCTGCAGCAGGCTCCTCAAAGGGCTCACTGCGCTGCTTCCAAGCCTCCCCTTCCAGCTCCGATAACTTTTCCCCTTCAGTTATTATCCCACTTCACTCAAATTTTGAAAATTCAGGTCGTTCCGGTTTTGCTTTGTTGGCCATGACTGAACTGGTCTGAAGCCATTCGAGGGGACCACTGTGCAGTGACACGCGCCTGTCCTATCCAAACCAGTCAGTGTTCTTTCACTGCTTGGGTCCAACTCATTTCCAAGATGGAAAGTGGGGCACCAACAGAGAGCATTCTTCAGCTGCCCTTCTGTTCACGGCAGCTGTGCCAGGCTGCTGTGGCTGGCAGTGGAGCCAGACTGGAAGGAGCACTGCATACCAAGTTGGCAAGCTCAGGAGTGAGTGTGTTCGCTGCCTGCCTGCAAGGACTGACTCTCCGAGTGATTGCTCCCTCTGCACCACCAGATACGCCTCCCAGAGGAGAAAGCAGGGCTACCGAGGCTTCCTGTGGTTTTGGCTATAGCAAAGTTGCCATGTCGTTTGTCCTGCTGGCCACAGAAAACCCAGATATATTTAAAAGCAGAAAATGTTGTATTAGAAATGAAAAGCAATCAGGATGAGAAGCTCTTTTCGAAACAGGAAACTTGTTTATACAAAACATTGGAGGACACTGTATTTTTCCTCCAGAATTCCAAGCATCTTAGACAACTGAGTTCATAAAATGTAGCTTATATAACTTGAAGTTAACATAATCTCAGTCAAAACGGTTCAAACACTATATAACAGAAGACAAGAACACAAGCGCTGCAGCACACTAGGAGAGGTCACAGCGACGCTTACCTCTTCTGCTGTCCAGAAGGACGCCTGCGCCTGCTTGTACATCTTCCAAATATCAGGGTACTGGATGGGAAAGATGACAAATCGGCGAGAACTCTTTCTAAGGAGCGGCTCGTCATGTGACTTCTCTTCATTGTCATTGTCATCTGAAGATAAGCTCTTTAGGAATACAGGACAAACAACTTTTTGATGTAATTGAAGAGGCAGTGAGTGATTTCACGTGGCTCTTCTAGCCAAAATCTCTGACTCAGCGCTTCTTCACCTTCCTCAGGCCGCAGCCCTTTCAGACAGTTCCTCATGTGGTGGTGACCAGCCCCCCACAACCATAACTTTATTTTCGTTGCTACTTCATCACTGTCATTTTGCTACTGTTATGACTCAGGCGACCCCTATGAAAGGATCATTCGATCCCCAAAGGGGTCACAACCCACAGGTGGAGAATGCGGCTCTAACCCTGCCCAACGACCTTTCCATGCATGGCTATGGTAAGAACGTGGGGGAAGACACTGACAGGATTCACCTACGTGTGAACAGGACTCACTGGCATGGCAGCCTGCTCTGTGTAGAAAATGAGCCCGATGAGAAAGAAGCAAGAGAGGGGATCACATTATCAGCAAGAGCAAGGAATGGAACTCGTCTTCTGACTAATTCAATATATGTCCAGATTACAAAAGTATTATAACTACAAACACTGAAATCAAGCCTCCTCTGAACACCCCTACACCTTACTTCCAACACTACCTCACTTAACACTGTGCTTACTTTACCCTAACATAGCACATCTCTCATGGCAGTTAATACCTTATTATCTGTAGTCTCTAGACTAGTGCTTCTCAACCTGTGGGTCGTGACCCCTTTGGGGGTCGAACAACCCTTTCACAGGGGTCGCCTAAGATCATTGAAAAATACATTTCCAATGATGTTAGGAACCGAGACACCGCTCCTCTATTCATCTCCAGGCAGGCCCGCCCACATGCAGATACGCCCACATCCGAGGAGTAGCCGGGGTGAAGACTGTTACCCATGCTACACTATGCTTCAAGACAAAATTTCATTTATTTGTCATTAGAAATACACCTTTCACAATATATAATTACATATCGTTTTTGTGATTAATCACTATGCTTTAATTATGTTCAATTTGTAACAGCGAAAATACATCCTGCATATCAGATATTTACATGATGATTCATAACAGCAGCAAATTTAGTTATGAAGTAGCAATGAAAATAATTTTATGGATGGGGGTCACCACAACATGAGGAACTATATTGCAGCATTAGGAAGGTTGAGCACCACTGCTCTAGACCATAAGTTTCTTATTTGGCCCACTGCACCCTTAAAAAAAATTACTCAATGTTCCTCCAACCCCCATAATTAAAACTTTTGTACTACAATAGCCCAAGATAAAGGGCAGGCATTTGCTTTTGCAGCCCCTGGATTGGTCTACCACCACCCCCACTGCCCCCATCCCCTGCAGGGGGTGGTACTGGCCACTTTAGGAAGCACTGCTCAAGACTAGGCTTCATGTGACTTAAATCTGTCTTTATCCAGGTGGAATTCCTCGAGCCTAGTACAGCCTCTGATACTAATTGATATTTATTCCACAAATATTTGAGCAAATTTTTAAAATGGAGATGTTCCTGCTTTTAGCTAATTTTGTTTTTTAGTCGGTGCACCATTAACAGCCTCCAGTCTTGGAGGAGGCCCAAGATACTGAACAACTGTTCCAGGCACGAGGGCAGGAAATGCACATAAAGCAAGGCCTTCAGGTCTGGCAACGAAGTGGCTTTTGAGCCCAGTCCCCACAAGTGCTTGGCCAACATGATCCACTGAATCCATATGACCATGCCAAAATGGGCAAAGTGATTTTCATTTTACTGATGGGGAAACCAACTCTTGATGGGGTAGATAATAGACCCAGAATCACTCAACTAATAAGTAGCAGAAATAAGATTAGAACTGAGAAATGTCTGAACTCATGGTCTTGCCTTAAGCTACATCTCTATGTGGGTAACAAGCTGGAATAGGGCCAGTCTACAACTACAACTCAGAATTCAAAACAACGAGAAGAACTATAGGCAAAGAGGCTATAAACTACTATGTCTTACTAACAAAAATAATTTAACAAATAGCAGTGACATAACCAATGAAATGGTGGGGGTGGTGGTGGTGGTGGTGCAGAAACACTTAATTTGAGTCCTAGTAAAAGCAAAGGGGGACAAAATCATGTACAAAGAATTGGAAGAGTCAACGTAACTCGACACTGATGAAAAACAGTCAAAGTGATAAAGTTTAAGGCAGAGGTTTTTAGATAAGTATCCAAATCATACTGATATCATCTCAAATGGCACTAGCTGTCCACATGCTTTTCCAAGTGAAAACCCCTTACGTAACGAGAACACGTGACTGCAGAGAATGTGTGTCACACAAGAGAGGGAAGGCAGAAGAAAGCAAGGCTCAAAACCAGCATTTGGGGAATTGGCACCTCTACAACATCTCTTGGTGTGAACCCAATGACCATATATTACTCCAGATGATTCTCTCTCATGTACAACTGCTTTCTTTTATAATAACGACATAATATTAACCATGTTTTCAGGCAAGTCATTAAATCTGGGTACCACCATCTGCAAATTACATGTACTTTCTGCCACGGTTATTTCAAAGCTCACGTAAGCTAATATAAGTCTTTGTACATTCTCAAGTGCTATACACTTTCTACATTAATATAGTTATTGATGATTACAGTAGTGTGATTGACTACAGTGGTGTTTCTGAGTAGTCCTGGTGGTGGAGAAAGGTAAGCACTAGACTAAAAACCACAAGGTCAGCAGTTCAAATAGACCAGCCTCTGTTGGGGAAAAAAGATGAGGTGGTTTGTAAAGATTACAGTCTCGACCCCAGAAAAATTTATTTCACAGGACAGCACTGAAGCTGCAGCTCAGGGAGAGGGGCATGTCTGATCAGAGCACATGGGAGCAAATGAAGGGGGAGGAAGAGAGAGTGGAGCATATCCTGGCCCACCAAGCCATGAGGACGATATCCTCTCTCAGAGCAGCCAATCCACAGAGAAGACCATATGGCCAGCCCCACTAAGAGACACGACATCCCTCACTGACCCATAGCCCTACAGGGGACAACAATGGAGACACAGTGTGGGAATTGCACCCAATCTGATCCCACCACAGCGAGGTAAAACACTAAGGGCATGCAACAGAACAGCAAGGGGAACAGAGCAACGAAGTCCCCAGGGAATACCAAAAATGGACTTTAGGGCCAGGACTTGGCACTCCAGCAGGATTGACTGGAAAACACTCCCAAAGCCCAACAAACAGCCTTTGAACTAACTACAAGCTTTCCTTTGTTGTTGTTTTTGCCATTGGCTTTTTCTTGTTGTTGTTTTGTTTTCTTTTGTTGCTTTGTTTTGCTCTGTCTTGTTTGTGTACATGTTATTATCCCCACAGGTCTGTCTAAATAAGATAGGCTGGATGAACAATCTGGAGGAGAAAACAACAGGACTGACAGTTCCAGGGGGACATGGAAGAGGGGGAGGTGAAGAGAAAGGAAGTGGTGTTAACAAGTGATCCAAATTGTGGTGAGGAGTGTAGGAGGCCTGGTGGGGCATGATCAAGGGTAATGTAACTAACAGAAAGTACTGAAACCCACATGAAGGCTTAGCATGACAGTGGGACAAGAGGAAAGTCAAAGGAAAGAGATAGGAGGCAAAGGGCATTTATAGCGTGCTAAATAAAGGCATGTACATATGTAAATAGTTATATATGATGATGGGGAAATAGATCTATGTGCATATATTTATAGGTTTAGTATTAAGGTAGCAGATGGACATGGGGCCTCCACTCAAGTGCTCCCTCAATGCAAGAACACTTTGTTGTATTAAACTGGCATTCCATGATGCTTACCTTCCCGACACTATCAGCAAGTACATAAGCAAATGTGGTGAAGAAAGCTGATGGTACCTGACTATCAAAATATATAGCGTCTGGGGTCTTAAAGGTTTGAAGGTAAACAAGCGGCCATCTAGCTCACAAGCAACAAAGCCCACATGGAAGAAGCACACCAGCCTGTGTGATCACGAGGTGCTAAAGGGATCAGTTATCAGGCATCAAAGAACAAAAAAATCATATCACTGTGAACTCACCTTCCCAATA